CCTTAGTGAAGAGACGATTGTTGTCTTGGTTTAATGACACAGAGCCTACCAGGAGAGTGCCCTCTAGGACCACTAAAACCTCTGTTGCGCGAGGGGTGAGTGTGGGAAGGGTTCAAACCACCATATGGAGCAAAGTCAATAGGCACAATTTATATGTAACTAAAAATATTAAGATATCTAATTAAAATTAATTAAATATATAAAATATGGCATGGATCTTAATTTTATCAGCATATAAATTTGAGATATTTTATTTTTTACGTTTTTTTTAGCATTTACACAATTTTATGTAAAAAAAAAAAAAATGCTCTTACCTTCAATCAATATCTTCAAAATGTAATAATTCACCATTCTAGTGTTTTATAGGAAAACGAATTATAGCTAGAGGTTAATTTTATTGATTTTTTTTTTTTTTGAGAAAATAGTTGAAAAAGTATTAGTACACAAATTTTTTAAAATATTTTAAAAATTATTAGTAAATTTTGTAATAATTTTTTCTCTGCTTGATAAGAAATTAAAATAAATAAATTGGTGAAAAGATTTTAAGTGGGCCACACGCATTAGAAAATTTGGAGAAAACTTTCTCTTTTAAAAATGTGAAAATAAAAAAAAAAATCATCTACCAAGATTTATGTTAAGAAAAATAAAAATTACAAATATTATTTTTACTTTTTTATTATAATATTAAAATATAAAAAGAGAAAAATAATCCAAATAAGAGAGACAGTTGGGGAAAACTTCTGCCTCCCAATCAATTACGCCCACATGTAAATGAATCATGTTTGCTTTTGGGGAACCAAAAACAATATATTTCGTTGTTTTTTTTTAACAAATTAAAATTAGTTAGGAAAAGGAGAAACAAGATTTGTATGATTTGAAAAAGTCATTCACAATGGGTCAATGGTCTTATTTCAAGATTCATGTCACTTGATCGAAACAGATTGTTGGTTAAATATTTAATATTTGATGAGAAAATATAATATGATTTTAATTGAAAATTTTTAAGTGATAAATTATAAAATTATTTAATTTTAAATGAATCAATTTGAAGTGTATTGTATTATAAAATATTAATTATTAAATCAAAAGTATTCTCTGCTAAAGCTCTCCAAATTTAATTGTTAGTGATACTGGTTTGATTTTAAATAGTTGTTTAACTTTTTTTTATTTATTCTTATTGCAACTATCATTTGCCCTAGAAGGTGAGCCACCAAGTTTCATAGTTTGAACCTCGTAAGCTTTTCCTCCATTCTCCCACTCCCTCGTTACCCTGCTCTCCCCGGCTCCCTTATCTACAACTAGAGATTACAAAAATAATCGGCATACAAGCCAGTACAGAGTTATTAAGGTAGAATAATTACTATGAGGAGCGATCATAACCATAGAATAATTTTTTTATTTTAATGTCTAACTTTCACTTTAAAGGTAAAAAGATTAATCAGGGTCTCCACCTTTTGTTTATATCATTTACAACCCATAATTAAATAGATTTAGCTTTACATTCATACCATCTTTCTTTTCCATGATAGGCAAAACTCTATAAAATTCATTGAGAGAGTTTAGACAAAAACCCAAAAGAGAGGGACAAACCCTTTTCTAAACTATTAAACTCTCAAAAAAAATTACTTTTATTCATACCCTCTAGCTTCAACGACTAGAGAGTAAGAAGAACTCAAAGTGAAGGTAGAGACTGAACAAGAAAGAGAGAGGCCCAGACTTGAACCGAAAAAACTTATATTCATCTGAAAATTTTGTAAAAAAGTTCTCCATTCCTTTTTTCATGGTAGAAAAGTTCGTTTTAATTGAGATTTTTATAAAGTAAATGTAATACAAAGGCATTTAGTTCTCTGTTTGGATTAACAATATATCTCATCTCTTTACTCTTCATCTCATCCATCACCACATGTCGAAGGACTGAATGCCAAGACCTCTTAACTTGCACATAACAACTTTAGATGTGATTTAATGAAGAATCTCTGCGTTAAAACCACTCAATTAATTAAAAAATCATAAGTAATCTCTCACAAATCTAGTACTATAAACTTACAAAACAAGATTTCCAGACAAATTTTGGAACTGTACTAAAATCATCAGTCTAACTAAAACACTTTAATTTATGGCCCAAAAAAGAACCCAAAACACTTTAATTCACAACATAAGAATTTCATTGAAACAACATTCTCATTTCCCACTGTAAATCATTGCATTCCAATCCAGTACGGTAGTTTGAGAACATAAAGACAATCTTTGTCATACAAGATAAAGAAGCCAACATCCATTCTACCAAATAACTTCATCTTTCACACCGAGCTCTCCATTGAAGTTGTAAATGCTGAAAACTGCAACAATTTCGACTTCCCATGAATTGTAAATTCAAAAGGGATAGAAAATTTTCCCAAAAAATAGAATGCAGTATACATACCTCAGAAACTAGAGGCCCTGTTCAATTAGATAATCACCGAGCCTTTCCACGATCATGTTGCACTGACCAGGTGTTAGAGGCTCATCATATATACCAATGATCAAGGCCATACTGGTCTTCTTAATGGTGACACCACCAGAGCCCTGGAATACACGCATCATTAATTGAATGGAAACTTATATGATCAAAAATGCAAGGGCCATCACTAGTACGTAACCCTCAAATACAAAACAGCATAATAAAGTCATGCTATTTTCCACCAATTAAGTTTTCTGTTTCACAAAGGAAACTGATTTGCTACTGGATATAGCCTCCATTCCAAAATACTGACAAGATTTATCAAAATGAAAATATCATCACCTTCTTTCCTCTTATCACAGCTCCAGCTTCACCCTGGATCACCATATATTTTACACCACCAAGGTGTAGGCCAACTGGTGCTAGGGATCCTGGTTCGTCAAAATCCTTCATGATGGCAGTTATTTCTTCAGCTGTAAACTGCATCACCAAAAATATAAGGTAAAAACTTGGAACAATAGAACACAGCTAAATTTATAATTTTAGTCTCTTTAAAGCAAGAGAGCAACTGATATATTGGTGGGTGCATAGAGGCCACCACAAAAAAAATAAAAATAATAATAATAAATAAATAAGACTTGACACTTGACAGCCAAAATCAACTTTGATGTTCAATAGGAATCTATTTCCATATTGCAGCTGGCTTTGTAGGCAATGGTAAAGGAGCATGCTCCCATGTTCCCAACCCTTAAGTGGTGGGTTTGAATTCCTCTTCCCAATTATCAAAAAGAAATCTATTTGTACATGCATTGCTTTCAAATGCAACCGCATCAAAACAAGGACTACAACAAGACCAAAAATCAATGTTGATGTCCATGTTTGCATACCCATAAATTTCAATCTAATGATCAAACTGCACACTTTTATTGTGATACCGTGAGAAAGAGAAATCCATCCCCAATTATATCAATTAATGCATTACAATCCTAATTCAAACAAGAAACACCAAATCATCAGATTCGCATTCAAGTTTCAAACGCTCTCAAAGGTCCTGCAGTGAATACTCTAAATCTGAACAAATCATTGGTTTGATAGAACCAGAAAAGGGTTGAGTAACGTTCAAAGCATAAGTAGGAGGCAGAAAGCCTAAACAGAGATAGAGAAGTAAGCGAACCTGAGGGAAGGTGGCGCTCTGGGCCCAAACGCTGCCGTCGTGGCCGATGATGGAGGCGGCGGTGAGGCTGTTGCCATCAATGTCACACATCAAGTGCTCGTCGACGTACTGTTGCCAAGACATCTTTGCTAGATTTTTGCCGATTTCTTTCTTCCGCTGATCTGCGGGATTTAAGACTTGAACGAAACTTGAGGGAGGACGGAGGATATGTAGGAGAAAGCGGCTGCAGGTTGCGTGAAAACTAAGCTGCGCTGCAGATTGTCCACCGTGGACTAAATGTCCGGTGTGCTGTCACCATGGGGCCACCTAATTTTTAAAACGCGTGGGTCCTCCATTCTAATGACTTTTTTTTTTTTGGCACAGATAAATTAAACTTAAGTTATGAACTTGATTGGAATGGAATTAACTAGATTGGAACGGAAGAAATTTAATTTTTTTTAAATAAAAATTTAAATTTGAATATTATAAATAAAATATATAAATTGAGAGAGTTTTTTATTTTATAAAATTTGACACGATTTAATTTTAAATTAATTAAATTATATGTAGTTATTAAATATTAAAAAATTAATAAAAAAATTAAACTTAAAAAGGGGGATTATTTTCAAACAAAAAAGGAAAGAGATAAATTACTAATAAGAGATGGAATATTAGATGATCCCACATCTTAGCCTAGTGGCCAAGGCCGAATTGCCCTGTTAAAAAAAACAAAGGAATATTGGACAATAATGCTATGTTGAGGTATGACTTTAATTTTAATTTATTTAAATAAAATAACAACCTCTTATACAATTTGATACATATCAAATTGCACAATTTTAATTATTATTTAAGGATTATTTTCTAAATGTGAAGTCATTTTCCATTAATTAATAATTATTTTTTTATAATTGGGCAAAAAAATGACCTCTTAAAATAAATTTTCAAATATTTTCTTGTCTTGACATAGTAATTTTTTTAACAATAATTTATGGATGATGGAATACTGTAGCCTAGGATCTAAAAAATAAATAATAATAATAAATAAATAAACTTTCCATCACAGCTAATTATGCCCTATTTTGAAAAAACACTTTTGAACTCTAAAAATAAAAATTTAGTCAAACGTGGAACAGCTTCTAAAGAAATGGTTAGGAATGGTAAAAAGTATATATAATGAGATGTAATCATGGTCGCACCGGATTTGGGGAACAAAAGAAAATAAGGATCAAATGCAGCATTGAGAAGATCATTAAAGCAATATCCTAGTAATCTATGCAAACCACCGAACAAAGCACAGCTAGGCTGGCCCTCCTGCCTCTTAATATATAAAAGAAATTTTTAATTTTTACCCATAAGGCTAAGGATTAAAGGTATATTTATTATTTTTATTTATTAATTTATATTAAAAACTAAATTTTAATTTTACCATTAATTTAATGAAATCATTTCATATATTTTTAGTATTAAAAATAAAATATATTTTTATAATTTTTATATAAATTAATGCTAAAAAAATATAATAAATATTAAAAAAAACATATATATGTACATAAAGTATAAGCATCTTTTCCATTTTGGTCATCGGTACCAGTTTGAGAACATGTTAGAACAGTCAAAATCTAAAATCCTATGTGCTATTCATCATGAAAACCATTTAAGTGTAAATAGGAACAGCTTAACCCTTTTTTGTTTTTTAGTTTCAAACTTCCAATCCATAAATAATAATCATTTTTAGCATCTAGTAATGCATTGTTTCAATTGCTGATTTAGGATTAGCATTGTCTTCTCGAAGAAAAGGCCTTGACCGGCCGACGTTGAATTCAACCTTCACCTGAAAAACGCCAGATGCCCTATGTTGTTGAATTTACACATGAGAGAATTTGTGGGATATATCCAAGTCTCCCGCCATATGCAACGAGTTTATGACAGCTTAGGCGGGTTAATTATGGTTTGCAAAACAATTAAATGAAGTCAATATATGCGCAAAGTTCTTGTAGTTACATATATTTTTTTATGGACGTTGCTATAGAGATAATTTTCTATATCATATTTTAATATAATTTTCACATATCATTAAATAAGTAAATACATTTAATGTTATGAATTTTAGATGAATTAAAAAAATTAATCATTTAAATAACAAGTAAGTTGTATCAAATAATAATATAAAAAAGTTGTCTTAAAATTATTTTTTTTTAATAAATAGAAGAATTGCAGCTAGATACATAAATTAGGACAATTTTAATAACAATGAATGAATTTTAATAAACTCGAAAAGTAGTTTTAATGATTAAGAATTTGAGTTTTAATGTTAAAAATTTTAAATTTTAAATTTAAAATAAATAAATAAATAAATTTTAAAAGAAAAATACTATTATTATTATTATATAGTTATCATCTAATCTAAAAAAAAAGAAAAAAAAATTTAACGAAAAAAATCTCGATCAATATATAAAAAACAAGCAATTAAAAACCTTCCATGATTCTTCAAATGCCCAAAATAGAAAACAATCATATTATGGTCCTGCAAGAAATTAATTAACCTTCAACAGCATGCAGATGGCAAAGGAGACATTGCAATTAGTAGGACCAAATTAATTAACCATTGCCAACTTTAGCACCACTACTTGGGTCACTCAAAGTACTTTTTATTTTAAATATAATTTCTCTTAGTTTCATTTCTTTTAATAGTCATAGATTACAGATGAGAATCGAGATTCGAGAATAATGCATGAACATAACATATTCATTCCAATTTCCAACACAAACGTAACAAAACAAACTCTTTCTTGCGCACTTCGATTTCATGTCCAGTTACATCAAATTATGTATAAGTGCATTTTTTAATTCTCAAGTAACGATTCAAATCCAATTTTATATGAATTTATTTCAAAAAAAAATACACAAACTCTTTCTTGCACATGCAGGTCGGTTGTCTTGATTCATATACATTAAATTTTTTGTATTTATTAAAATTTTATTTACTGTAATAATAATTAAATTATCCACATTCTTCCTCATTTTTTTATGTTCAAAAAAAAAAAATGAAAAGCAAACAAACAAACAAACTCTTTCTTATTTTATTCGGGGACACTACCTCGAAATACACTTCAAGTTTTTAAGTTTGTCTCGTAAGTAGAATAGAGTCGAATTCACAAATTGTAACAGAATATAAAAACTTGGTGTTATATTTTTAATTTTATTTTAGATCTAATTTTTTATATTTATTTTTTTTATTTTACTTGTTACATTTTAATTTTGTAAGAATTTTTAAATAATTCTCGTATATTTTTTGTAACATAAAGAATTATTAAATTATTTTATAAAATAAACCTAGTTAGCAAAAATTAAATGTAGAATGAAGTGATTTTTAAAGAAAACTTTACAGGATAAGGTTATGGCTACAGTTTA